TTTTAAAAATCTGTGATAATGTTTTTATTCTAATAATAACTTTTTATCTTTTTATAATGCCTGTTTTTATTCACTTGTTATTTTATTTTTAATTGTTGAATGCTGCCCGGTGTCACTTCGTGTGAGATGGGTGGCTATATAAATGTGATGTATAAATAAATTAAAATAAAATAAAAGTAAGGTTATGAGTCTATGCATGCTTAATAGGGAGTAAGTTTAGTTGAAACCAGAGCTTCTGAGTAAATTTATATTGGATTGCAATCTCTTATTAATTTTTACCATTTATAACATGGTGTTGATTTGCCTATAATTTATCAAATTTGCAAAGAGGAATGAATACATTGTACTTAGGTATCTGGATAGGAAAGAGGACATATTTTCCAAGAAACTGCAGTTTACAATAATTCCATTAATACAAATTCCATTAAAGCAATTAAATCACTTAGGATTTTTTTTTCTATAAAGGAACGTCTCATGGATGAAGGTATTGATGAAGACAGCGGCGAAGACATTGTTGACGTCAATACAGAACAGCATCCTGGATTTATGGCTTCTGCGTGGTCCTTCATCACCACTTTCTTTACATCCCTCATTCCTGAAGGACCTCCACAAGTTGGCAACTAAGCAAAGAAGGAACTACTAGTATGCTTTAAAGTGGAGTGGAAGTTGACTCTGGGAGGGAAGAATTTTAAATATAGTGCAATTGCAAAAAATATATATATATAATGTAAATTTTCTGATCATGCTGTACAAAAATGTGATTTTTTTCTTTCAGCTTTCTCATGCTAATGAATATTTTAAGCAAAATGGACTACTAAATGCTTTAAAAATATTCTTCTTTAAAGAAGAAAAATGTAAAAAATTGGTCTTCCATGTTTTTGTTTTAATTGTATTAACACTAAGGGAAGGAACCTGTAATTGGTGCAATGTCCTTCCTTTAAAGAGTTATTAAATTACCAATTAGAAATAAGCTCCTTCATAGTAAAATAGAACTTGTGTTGGAATCTTTGTCATTGTTTCTTTTTTAAAAAAAACTGTGTATCAAAAATCTATATTGGACTTATAGTTTTGAGCAACTCAGCCATGCTATTGGCCTGTTCTCTAGGTTTTCCCACTCACCTCATGATATCAATAATAAAGCAACGTTTTGAAGAGAATAGATAACAACTAAATACATTACAAACATTTAATCCATACTGAAGTTTAAAAAATAGTTACAGGACACACAGATGAATGTAATTAGTTTTTAAATTAAGCTATAGTAATGAGGAAACTTATCTGGAACTCTTCAGTATTAATTTGCATGAGCAAGGCTCAGTATGTCTGTTCTGTATAAAAACAATCATAAAGAATGTTGAATACATCTTAACTGTTATTTATAGCAGCATCATCTAAACTGCTGTTCTTCACATGTGTTGAACTGCAATTATCATTTGCCATAGATAGAGATATTTGGGGGTGGGGCAGACATAATAGATCCAGAGGTTACATATATCAAAATGAGCAGTGCTAGGTGCAACAGAAATACATTAAAAAACCAATGCATAGAATAACTTAAAAGATAGAAATAAGTGATGTATTTAGGCAGAGTTCATGAACTTTCAATGGTTGGCGGGTAAAAAAAAACAACTCATTATAAAGGTCCCCAAATTAATGATTATTATGATGATTATGTGCCATCAAGTCATTGACTCTTAGCAACCACACAAATAGATTTTCTCCATGATGATCTGTCCCTAACCTGGTCCTTCAGCTCTTCCGATGTGCACTAACTGCTACTGTAACTGTGTCTGTCCACCTTGCTGCAGGTTGTCCTCTTTCCTTCCACCTTTCCCAGCATTAGAGCCTTCTCCAGAGAGCTGGGTCTTCGCTTAATGTGTCCAAAGTAGGATAATTTGAGCCTGGTCATTTATGCCTCAAGTGAGAATTCATTTGGATATTTTTGAAACATTAATATTGCTGATATTTCTTAAAATGTTAACTCTAGAAGGCAACTTAATCCATTAGGCTACAACTACAAATATCAAGACAATCATTAAGCTGGCCCTGGTACTGCAGTTGCCATTAGATTCTTGAAATAATTTTTCTCTTAACTGCCTGCTGAAAGTGAATTTGAGTGTCTTCTAAAATTGATGGCCAAGAGGCAAATCAACCCTTTTCTAGCATACAGTTTGGATAGTTTATCTGTGAAAAAATAGTTAATGGCCATAGCAATTACTGATTTGAACATAATTAGAGTGAAGGAATAATATTAAAAACAATAGGACCTTTATGACTAAATAAAGTGGTATTAAGGAATTAACTCTTACCACCTATACTTTTTCAACTGCATTTGTGCTTGTAGCACTAGTTTCAGTTATTTTCTGGCAAAGTCAATCATTCATGGCTTCCTTACTTGGAAATGGGCCATTGGCATGTTTATCAAACAGCAGAAGTAGGTTCTGTTCACTAATGTGACTGATTAATATAAGAGAATCCTAAAAGGTATTTTTCTACCCATATCAATTATGATCAGTAATTAAGCAGGGAATCTTTCACATTTTCACAAGTTAAAAGTTAGCAGATTTTTTTTCACAGAACCCAATCAAACTTGAATGGAACAAAGTTGAAAGTTATGGATGAAAAAGTCCATCAAATCAAGTTTAATCAGTAGTTATTCTAATCAATTTAGCCTGGTTGCATTATCCCTTTGCTAGTTATTAATTAGATATACACAGAACAAACTGGCAATTGAGTATTATAAAAATACTTATAACTTAAGTCCAGAAGTAAATCTGGATTAGAACAGTAGTAACAGCCTACTATTCTAATGATATCATGCTCTCTAGTAATTGCAGATTATCATGTTTTTACTGGTGACTTGAGTCTACAAAGGGACAGCCTCCACTGAAACTAACAGAGAACTAGAGTGCTGGTATTCTAATATTTAAAAGATGGCAGATAATCAGTTTTGAAAATTCTTGGGAGTTTCCAGTTTGGATTGAATCTTCTATAGGGAATGAGAGTATCCTGACTTAACCAAGCAGAAATTGATTGCTATGTTTTACTCTGTATTTACAGCTTAGAAAAAGAAGAAAGTCTATCATGGTAGATGCTAATGGTAGGAGCCCGTGGGATGAAATTGGAAACTTGAAATGTTTAATTTTGAAACATAGATATAGTAGGCATCATAGAAATCTGATAGAATGTCAAAGATGAGAAAAGGTAGTCCTTGGGTTATGATGGCAGTTGGGACTGGGATTGCCATCACTAAGCAATGCAGTCATAAAGCATGATATCACATGCCTGCATCACAGTCCCGGTTGCTGTTGTAACCCCAGGACCGCATGGGTTGTTAAGCAAGGACCTCACATGACCATGACATGGGAAGAGGTGGGAGTCCCAGGCAAGCAGGCTGGAGGGTGAGCGCTACAGGTGGGTAAGTGCTATGGAGCATGGGTGGGTGGGCAGGCAAAAAAGCAGCGGGAGTGGGAACGACTTGTGACCTCCCAGCTTCCCCATTGACTTTGCTTGTAGGAAGCCGGCAGGGAAGATCATAAATGGTGATCACGTGATCACAGGATGCTGCAACCATCGTAATTGCAAGCCAGTTACCAAGCGCCCAAATCATGATCATGTGACCATGGGGAAGCTGCAACAGCCACAACTTCAAGGACCAGTCATAAGTCCCCTTTATTCAGTGTCATTGAAACTTTGAATGGTTGCTGAATGAGTGGTCATAACCTGAGGATACCTGTATGATACAATTATTTTGAAGTACATAGGATGAATAGGGAAATATGTCTAATTGTTCTGTACATCAAAGAAAGTACTGTGTCAAAGAAATAAACTTCAGAAGGGCAGACTTCTTCACATAACTGCTATATGAATCCCTAGAAATAATTTTGTAATGGGGAAATGCTATTGCCCTTTGGCTAAGTACAGGTAGTCCCTGGGTTACGGATGACCCATAATTAACAACAGAGCCTATTGTAGCAAAATTCAAATTAAATACACAATAATGCGAGTTAAATACACAATGGTTCGAGTTAATTACACAATACTACTCACTATACAATACAATACTGTTCTGACTTACAAATTCGACTTAAGGACAGACTTTGGGAATGGAACTCGTTATTAAACTGGGGACTACCTGTACTCATGGTGGCACTGAGACAGATAACGAGAGAAATGTATTAGTAATGGATTATTCAGTTACTCTCACAGAGCTTGTGTTCTAATCATAACAAAGATGTAGTGAATGATACAGTTCTACAGCAATGAACCACACAAGTGACCAAAAAGGATGTAATCCTGGACTCAGTTGTAAGGGGTGACTGAGACTGCAAACTGTGTGGGTTGTTAAGCTGCTTGGGGAAATGACTATATTGCTATTAAAGTGTATATATAAGTACAGTAAAGAAATGTCAAAGATATTCAAGGCAGTCATCACGTTTGACTTCAAAGGAGAAAAAATCTCTAAAACGGATTAGTACAAATAAATGCACAAAAGTCAAATCTGCCTAGAGTGTTTAGGGCATGCAGCACTCAGGATCATAATAATGAAACCTCCAGTGGCATGTCTCACGTAGTTCAGGTGAGGTAACACTTAGCTGCAAGGGAATAGTGCAGCAATTAACAAATGGTGTTTAAAGAGCTTAAAAGAACCACAGGTGGGACAACAATGGATTAAACCATGTCTGTTGGGGGGGGGGATTTGGGGCATGTTAAAAATAAGAATGATTTAAAACCTCTTCAGTACATCAGAAGGAAGAAGAAGGGTAAGGAGGTGGGTGGACTATTAGACAACAAAAGGATTAAATGGGTATTGAAGTGCTAAATAAATATTTAAAGAGTCAGATGCAAATAAATAAACAAATAAATAACCTGCCTGTACCTTAACTACAGAAGACATAGGGCAGATACTTTATCCGAACAACATTTTCAAAAAAGATGTTTGAGAAACTGAGACATCTGCTTATGATAAGGAAAGAGGTTCTGCAACAGCCTTCACTAAAACAATACCCACAATCACCCCCAGTCTGCAAGGTCAATGACTGTATCATTTAGAGTTTATGAAACTTGGAATCTATCCTTAGTCTAACCCAGTGTTTGTCAACCTTAGCAACTTTAAGAAGGGTGGACTTCAACTCCCAGAATTCCCCAGCCAGCCAATTCTGTACAAGAAGACTGAAAAACAGTCTTGAGTATCACCGATTATTAACAACTCAGGGAAACCATGTAGAACAAGGCTTCTGAAATGCTTTCCAGCCCCTTAATAGCAGCAGAACTCTGGGTCATGTGATCAAGAGACGGGAAGGATGGGGCACATAGGAACGAAGCAATTGGCAGCCCTCCAAGGCACTGCCCAGCCCTCTCTCCCAGGGGGATGCATTGGGGATTTTTTTTCTGAATTTCTTTCTTTGTTTATGGTCTGTAGCCCCAAACCATATCCAGCCCATTTTGAAACTCAATTTCCCACCACACCAGATATGGTCCCATTTTGTTCTGGTTCTGAAGAGTAACTTTATTTTATTTATTTATATATTTTATTTTTTTTATAGCTGCCCATCTCACATATGTGACTCTGGGCTTACAACAATAAAAAACAAGAGCAATAAAAATATGAATAAAAATAAGAAACATACAATCATATAAAAACCACTGTTAAAAACTCAACTCAACATAAACATAATCACAGTCAGCAGGAGAATACAAGCAAAACAACTCATTCAGTATAGCCTTTGAAAAGGCTCACCACTACTGCTGGAGCCCCAAGCACGGTGGCACAGCCATGTTTTCAGGCCCTTCCTAAAGGCCAGAAGGATAGGGGGCAATTTAAGTTCTGGGGGGATGATGTTCCAAAGGGTGGGCACCACAGTAGAAAAAGCTTTCTTCCTGGGTTTTGCCAGATGACATTCCTTAGTAGATGGGACCCATAACATGCCTCTCCTGCCAGATCTGATGGGACAGGTAGATGTAATCAGGGTGTCAGCCCTTTGAAGTAATCCAGACAAGTATCAACC